CAGCTTGGTGTCTCCTCTGATCAGATCCTCACCCTCACTGTGGAGCATGTGTGATGTGAGAGTCTCTTGGAAATCAACTTTATCGCGCTCTAGTTTGGCAACCACTTGCTTTCAGAGATGGGAAATAGGCTGTGGCAACACTCTGCACTGTGATGGCTTCAGGCTGGGTACAGGAGGCATGGAAGGGACTGCAAACCCAATGTGAAGCCTTAGCCCCCACGGAGGACATGGAATTGTGTGTTCAGCCTGACAGCTCTGCAAAGGGCCCAGTCACCTTGCAGACCTGCTCCCACCATACCCCTCCTTGTCTTCCCTCACAGGCAAGCAGGGCTGTGAGCACAGGGAAACCAGCTCACAGCTCCACAGCTCAGAGCAGCACTCCTGGCTGTGGGGATGACCACAGGCTGTACCAGAGCCATGCCCAGCCTGTGGAGATGGGCAGCTCCCACCAGGTGCCCCAGGGCTGGGCAATGTGCCACACGTGGAGCTCGGGCCACTAATGAGCTGTGTAATGTGCCCAAGCCTTCAGACCCGCGTGATAAGACTCCACTTTCTTTCCTCTTTTCTTTTTTTTTTTTTTCCCCCCAGAGAAAGCCTTCTTGCACAACGTCCATTTTTAGCACAAGCTGGAGCTGGATCAGATGCCTCACATGTGGTCTCCACTCCCCAAAAGGAGAGATCAGCACTTTCTTTCTCCAGTGGTTCAACTACAGGCAAAAAAAAAATCTGAAGATTAAACTATGTCACTAATTCCCCCTTTTCTGCCCTTACAGGCTGGATAGCCGTGCTGCATCGGCACAGCCATCCTCACCCACTCCTGGAACTCTTCTTTCATTAGACTGGCTAATTATGAGAGCTAAAAGGAAAGATTATGAACTACAAAACCACAGGCTGTAGGACAAAAAGTGATCATCAGCTGGGATCAGAAGACATCATGATATGTACGAGGACAATAAAGAATTGCTTCCGTGGCTGTAGCAAACACTTTGGGAAAAGAGATTTTTTTTCAAAGGCTTTTTCAAGGCTCTCCCCTGTGGGTATAATGGGGTGTCCTCCAATTAACTGCCGTGGAATCAATTAAGTTATTGCTCAATTCTTCTGGGAAATTCCAAACAGAACTGGCAAACGTTGGAGATAAAGCACTGAGCAGATGGACTGCTGATGGCTCCGAGATGCCAAACATATTCCTTTTCATTACGGTTGGAAGACAGTCAGACTTCTGGGACAGACGTCCCACGTCTCCTGCTCCGATCCGTGCGGAACTACCAGGATGTCTCTGTGGGAGAGGCCCCACACCCCCATGGGCACTGACACGGAGCAGCCCCAGCCCTGGTGTCCCTGGCCCTCCTGACTGCTGGGGCTCCTGAGATGGACACTGCTGCCTGGTCACCACGGCTGTGCCAGCTGCTCACAGAAACCAACGTAACCAGGCTGCTCCCAAAGCCTCCTGCCATTCTGGTTAAGTTTCAGCTCCCCTGTGACTCCTGTCAAGCACAGTGCACATGTCAGTCCTGCTGTGAAGCCTGAGCTCACCAAAGCCCTGCGCAGAAGGGGAGAAGCAACTACACTTCAGGTTGCTTTTCCACACTTCAACCTTTCAATACATTGGAGTTTGCCAACTGTTAGTGACCATTTGAGTGACGTGGCAGGTATGAGATCCTCAGCTGTCCCCTGCATCCCTCATCACTGCTGCACACAGAGCTGACCCCACTCCCATCCCTGCAGTGGCTAGTTCTCTTACTCTGAGATAGCTGTACATGCAGATGGACATCCAGTTGGTCAGCATCTTCTCCACCACAGATTCCGTCCTCCTCAGCATCAGCTTGGGGTTTTTGGAAGCTGAAGCATCTATTAGATCCACCAAGAGGTCCTTCATGATGCTGGTGTAATACTCCAGTTTCCCATGCAATGCAATAGTAAGCAGGGATGCCAGGTTACACCTGAAACACAGAAAGGTGTAGGACTCAAGCCCAAATCCAATGAGACTGAACTGCAGACTGGCACTAAAAAGCCCAACACACAAAGGCAGTATTTCAGACAATTTTCAAGTCTTCTCCATGGTGTTAAAAGTTCCAAGACTCTTTCGGTGCTGCTGACCTCGGGTCAGCTTGCACCCTCTTACTGGTGAGACAAACAAGTGGATGCTCTTCAGGGTTTATGGCCATCCATTTCTAATAGAAAAGTGGGAGGCAAGAGTAACTCAACCACTCACTGAAATGCACAGCCCCAGACACTGACAGGATTGCTACAGGTTAGGAATTAATCAGTCTCCTCCAGCTGACAGGTCTTTGGTTCTGAAGCTCCTACCTGTCTCTGACAGCAAAGTCCTTCTGTTGCTCAAGAGCGTGGACAAACACGATGAGGAAGTGCTTGTTGTTGAGTAAGGTGGAGAACAGCGAGATTCCTTCTTCCATATTGGGTCTGCAGTTCTCAGGGATCTGAAGACAAATTTAGAAAGCAAAGTAAGAAAATCCTGCTTGTTGTTTCCCTCCCAGGCCAATGGTCCTTCATGCTAGAGCAGATCCACAGATCTGCCTTCTCCAGCTGGCCAAAGCTGATCTGGTGCTGGTGTGTGTTAATGGTTCAGAGCGATCAATCATCCCACACACCACAAGAAAACACAGCATTGCACACAGGCGAGTCTGGTTAGCAACACTCAAAAGCACTTGTTAGTGGGTTACTCACCTTCCATTCCCCCACCAGGAGTGGATGGGTTTCCTGGACCTGGGAGCCCACCTGGGAGCTGAGCTGCTGGGATGGCAGGATGTAGCACTCCTCATAGAGCGAGGAACACTGGAACCAAGCACAGCATTAGGGGAGGCACTGCACCCTCCCGGGGACTCCCTGTGTGCTATGCACCTCAGGGGAACGAGATGGGAGGCATGACATTGGGACTAAGACCACCCATCACGAAGACATTCATGGGATGGTTTACAGAGCCTTTAAACACTTTGCAAGAGCCTCCTGAATGAGCAAACACCACAAGGATGGGGGGAGGCAGACGTCTGCACAGACACAAGGCTGTTAGGGCAGGGAGACTGCAAATAGACTAATGTGACAGCTAGAAAACTCCCAGAAGAGAAAGCTTTATAGAAGACTAAATCAAAATAGAGGAGTTCTGGGTGTTTTAACATATGTAACTTTTGAAACAGATGGGAAAAATGTTTAAATCTCTAACATTCATATAGCAGACCGAATCTTAAAGCCTCTAGTGTGCAGAGATATGGAGACTGGATAACTGAAAAACCTGAGTAATAGCTACTAATGAAACACTCTGCAGTCATAAATCATCATCTCACTCCTCAGCACTGACACACAACTGCCTCAGGGGTGAAATACAGCCGTGGTGAAGGGCACACAGCAATGCAGCGGAGCAGCCGGTGACGGGAATTACGGCACCGGCGCGTCTGGTGCAGCCCTGGGGAAGGACTCCAGGCAGACAGACCAGGACTGGGCCCCCAAGGGACATCTTACTGGGAGCACCACCACCCAGTCTTGGATGGGGAGGAAGGAAAGGGGGAGACAGAGCTCCTGAGGACCAGCTGGACCACTGGAAGTGTTCAAGGGCATCTCTCCCTGAATGCCAATGGCAGATTCAGCCTTCCTCCACCCTTCAGCCTCTGCTGAACAGAGTGAGGTGACACAGGAGCCCTTGGGGAGAAGGAGGAGTCCCCAGCACTCTGCTCCTGTGAGAGCTCTTTCAGAAGAGTGTCCAGAGGCACCAAACAGGCAAGCCAGAGCAACTCCCGGGACGGTGCTGCCGCTGGGCTCTGTCATGTGCAAGCAAGCCTGACCTTACTTGACACCCCAGGAGCTGTGGCTCCACTTTTGACGATAATAGAGGCTGAAATATGTGACAAGTAAATACGTAACAGTGGAATGATTTTGTGACACTGTAAAAGCCCTTTAGCAGAGCCCTGATCTGGTTGGGAAGGACCTGGGAGCTATGAGGTGCCCGTGACACACGCTGTCACCTTACTTTGGGGAAGAATGTCCTGGTGACAAAATGCTTGTACTCCAGGAAGGGGATCCCCTGGCTTCGGTTTAGCTCCTTGGTCAGGTCTGTCATGTCTGTCTGCAGCTCTGCAAAACCTTGCACAAAGAGACCCACAGATGGTGAGAGCCCAATCCTCCAGCAGCCGAGACCGTGAGCAGGTTGGCACGGGAAAGCACGGCACGGCTCATCGCCGCCCGCTCCAGCCGTTCCTCGTGGGAGCTTAGATGGGTTTTCTCTGAGCAGTAGGTTCCCATCAGGGTTTAACCATCGGTGCTGTACACCTCGTCCCAAGCACTGAGAGAACATTCCCTGCCCCAGGAGCCCAGCCCCACGGGGTTCCCACAGGACAGGGGACCATGGCCCGCGGGACGGCGGTTTCCATCACTTCTCCACAGTTCTAGCAGGAGTGTGCTGCAGCTTCTGTTGCAGCCAAGCATACTGCACACTAAAGATCTGTGTGGCCTTCAGGCAACCCTCTGACACAGCCAAGGGCCATTAAACGTAGGACAGGGAAGCTGGTGGCATTGGAAATCGGTAGCTTGCCTGAGCCAGGAAGCAGGACAGCGGCAGAGCCACCTTTCCTGACACTGAGCCTGCCAAAGCTCACAGGCAATGACAGAACTTCTCTTATAAATAGTTCTATGAACTTCTACAGAGCAGAAGGTGAATGGCTTCAAGCCCACTAGCCTGGCATCCCCCTCCCAGCCCTGGCTCCTCCTCGGCACCCAGACGGTGACTTACCTTTGCGGATTTCCTCCCGGATCTGCGACTCCATCTCCTCCATCTGGAGCAGAGTTTTCTGCCAGTAGCGCTCGGCTCTGCGGCTCTTTGTGCAGAACACAAAGAGGGCTGGAAAAGAGGAAGGGAACAAGCCTTTTGGACATGGGCTTGGGAGCACTTGCAGCTGGAATCAGTGGCTCTCTCTGAGAGGGGTGCAGAAAGCTCAATCCAGAGCTGGTTTCACACCTACCACCAGACTGCTATCTGCTCAGGCAGTTGTCGATTATCTGTAAATAAGTAAAACCAGCTGGAATGTAATGATCATGCTGTAACTGTCATCTCCAGTTTAGGTCTGGGCTGTTGGTATTCAGCTTAGCTGTATATTAATGTATTCCAGCTGATTAATGAATACAGAATTCAGGCTGTTTACCACCTGTATTACAGTGTTCTTGTCTGACAGTCTTCCCATGCCTCCAGAAATACGTTTCCAATGATGGATGGTGCATTTAATAAATAATGTGCATTACAGCCTTTACTAAAAATGAATTAAATCCCTATCAGAAACCTCTCAAGTGCTGTGAACTGGCAGGTTTCTTGCTGCACACTCATCCTGGGCATGCAATGAGCAGGTACCCTAGCCAGAGGACACAGGTGTGCTGCACAGCTTCCAGCCAGGTTCACACACCAGTGTGCCTGCTCCAGACCTGTAGCTGGAGATGCTGCTCTGCTCTTCCCACTCTGCCAGGCAGCTGTCACTGCCTGTTCCTGATGACAGGCCCTCAGGCTAAGGGCACCTTTGGGATGGTCTGGGACACTCATGCCTGTGAGTTAGCCCTATGAGTCAGTACAAGCCCAAGATCAGTTGCTCACATCCTTCTTTATCTTGTATCTACTAAGTGGTTGGGGAAAAGCATAAGTTTCTAGATATCACAGGCTCAAGTAACAGAGTCATCTGTGGCCTCAGCCAGCGGAAGCTTCATGCTGCAGGGAGCTGTGGTCCTGCTACTGGCTGCATCCCATACGAAGAGTGGCTTCCTGCTGCACCCAGACCAGCTTCAGGCAGTGTACAACTGCAGCACTCAGAGTCACCTTCACCCCACACACACAATGAGAAAAACCTTGGCACAGCCTGGGAATGATCACTCTTTGCCTTACCTACGACAGAGAGGACCAGCAGGATGCTGCAGATGACGATGGAGACGATGATCGCAGTCTCTCCGCCCCCAAGGTGCAGCATAGCAATTGTGTAGTTGAACTTTCCAACTTGGATCTGGAGGAGAGCAGGAGGGAGGAAAAGTGGGAGCTGAGCAATGTTGCCAAGGGGCTGAGAGCAGGGAGGGACAGGGGTCAGTGCTCAGCAGAGCGTTGCTCGAGGATGCACTGACCATGCTGGTGCAGCCCCTCGGGCTCTGCGGGAGGCCTGGCTGTGCCCATCCCACAGCCACCACAGAGCTTTGGTGGCAGAGCTGCAGGCCCATGCCATGGCCCCACCATGCCCACTCCAGAACGAGACAGCCCTTTCCTAGAGAGCCCACAGCACTGTACAGGGCTGCTTATGCTGCTCTTACTAGAAAACCACTTCTACTCATCACTGACATCATTATGGTTCTGAATGGCCTTTGGATCCCTTCTCCAAAAGTTGCCACCCAGGAGAAGGAGGGTTAAGAAACTTAAAAGCCCTTGAAATACAAATAAACTAAGGGAATAAAAAAAAATAATAATGAGACCATAGAAGAGTAGTGATCTTGTGGTTAAAGCAGTGAACGGAGTGTCAGGAGGTGCTGGCTCTGCTCCCAGCCTGTACTTCTTGTGACACCAAGCACAAAACACTTTAGCTCAGTTCTCAGGTCTCCTGATCTCCAGAAGGGAAGAGGCCAGCACACATCACAGGCTGGTGAGTTACTGGGCATCATTTACAAACAGCTCTTTGGGCCCTTGGGATGAAAGGATTCCACAGCATCATCTGATAAGGAAAACTCATGACCACACAAGGCTTTTGCTTCTGGTAATACAAGTTTCACTTCTCTCGAGGAATGAGAAGTGAGAGAAACTTGAGAAAACCACCCTGAAACAAGGTAGGGAAGAGCTGGAATAATCTTACAATTCCATGTGTGTCATGGAGCACCACTGAGAAAGGTGCCCACTGGAGTGAAATCCCAGCAGCTCTCAGCCACTGGGCCAAAGCTGTGCCACAGTCAGGGCCTTCCCACCACCTCCATCACCAGACACCATGTCACACACAGCTCTATCCCGTGGGAAATCCAGCCCTGGCTCTGGGAGCATCGGCAAGGGCAGAGCTGCTGCCAGCAGAAGGCTCCAGACACTGAGAGCTTTGGTCTCCACCCTGACAGAGTCTGAGAGCTGTGGTGCTGGACAGGGACAGGAGCCACAGCACTGTGTGAGTACCTGGGCAGGTTCCCTCAGCAGCCTCACAGCCACCTGCCTGGCCCTGGGACCTCCACCTCTTCCCTCTGAAACGCTGCAATGAAGCAGCTCCTTGATGTGTTTTGAGTCTTTTTTTTAACCTTTTGTATTTTTCAGAGGAAAAATCTCATGCCTGCAGTTTCATTCACTGTTTAAGCAGTTTGGTCATGAAGAAAAATGGGTCTGAAGGCCTTGACAAGCTTCTTTTCTGAAGGTAAGGATGCTCAGGTGTGAAAACAAACAGATTACTTAGCTGCACTTTCACTGCTGGTGCACTCTGAACAGCTTTGTGATAATTAGGGCTAGGTATCATTCCTCTGCTTGCTGGGGACCCTCTAGGGCACTGCCCTACTGGTTTATGTCACATCAAGACCAGCAAACTCATAAATTCCTTCTCTTCCCCAAAGGGATTTCCCTGTTTCTCAGTTCTTATGAAGAAAGAAATTACCCTTTCAAAATTTCCATTAAAATGACTCAGGAAATTTTGCTACTTCTGCATTTCCACATTTCCAGTTTGCAACAGAATTTCATACACCTCAGACTGTTGCCAGCAAACAGGACAACCCTGTCAGTGAACTGGTGGTGCATCCTCATGCCTTTCTCCTGGACAGCCCAGCTCCTCAACTCCCTTCAGCCTTTCTCCTCCTCCCTGCCCACACTGCAAGCTTCCACCAAATTCCCTGCTCATACATGGATCAGGGAGACACAGCAAGGCCTCAGACCACGGAGGTGGAGGCATTTTCTCTCCAGATACAAAGAGTCATAGTCACATTCCTGCATGGCAATGGGCTGTGTATGATATGAGGGTGAGCACAGAAGTTCAGTCAACCACACTGGAAAACAGGGCAGTAACTAAGCATAGTGAATTCTGCAGATACAGAAAGGAACAACACCCCTGAACACTGAACTCTGCAGTGACACCAGAAGTTCCTGAAAGCATGAGGCTGTCCATCCCTGGGTACTCTCTCACCCTCTTGGTCATGTGTAGGGACCCAGCTCAGTGAGGGTCAGACTGTCCCGGCCACTCATAGCCCTTCTGACAGTGGGAGCAGAGCAGCTGGCTGCAAGCTGTATGGAAATCCCCAAACATCTCTCATGAGAGGCAGAAAAATCACTGCAAGTGACAAAACCTCACATGCCTGAGACCTCACTGTGCCTTACCAGAATGGACCAACCTCCCCCAGCACACAGTGCAGTAACTCAGCAGGCAGCTGCTGTGTGCCACGGCTCGGAGTGTGGCAGCTCCTCACCACAACTCCAGGCAGCCTTCATCCCAGTCCCCTGCATCCCGCTGACCAGCTGCCCTGGGACAGCTGTCAGCACAGCCTGCTTTGTCCACCCTTCCAGCAGTGCAGCTTTCTGCAGGGTCACCAGTGGTGAGCTGGGCAGGTCCTTCACCTGCAGGGTCTCTGCCCACACACTCATGGCACGGAGGCTCCAGAACTCACCGTCACAGGTAACTGCCTTTCCGAGGTGCTCAGCGACTCGTTGACAGAGCAGTGGATGACTTTGTCTGAAACAATCTGGATCTCACATGAGATTAGGCCAATTTTCACCTGGTACTCATTGCTCTCCAGGCCCAGGCTGTCAGGCTCTTTCTAAAGACAGAAATAGAATCAGGATGTCAGGCTGCAGAGTAGCAGCTGGAATTGCAACGGATCTTCCTGCTTTACTTTCCACGTTCCCTGCTGGTTTGCAGATCTGGGAAGACTCTCCCTCACCAAGGACATTTTTCTAGCACTCCACTTCCCCATTTTCCTGCCGAGGCTTTCCTGTTTCCCATTCCTCTCTCAGCACGGGGTGTGGGATGAGCAAGCCCCTCATGGAACCTGGAAAAATCTGCTTTTGATCTGGCCTGCTGTGAGTGGAAGATAAGGATGTAAGCGCCCACCTGGGAGGGGGAAGGATGTCCAATGGAGGGACAGCCAGGGGATGCGCCTGCAGAGCCTGAGAAAGGGAGAGCACGTTTCTGGAGCACATTGCAAGCAGTGAGGATATCCTGCAGTGAACAATGCCCTTTGAATTACTACTGCTCATTGTCCAGGCCACTCAGCTGCTGCACCCCAACTTCCTCGTGAGCTGAGCTGAATTCAGTGGCCAAAA